AAAAAAAAAGAGTTAGTTCTCTTGAAAAATGCAACAACTGTGATAATTATGGAGACCCCTAGAACACACTCAGAGGGTTAAAACAAACCTCCCCCCCAAAAAAAACAAACAAAACTCCTCTTTGGCTACTTAAAAAATAATTCTGTTAGCTGAGATGCTGAGGAAACTAGATTCAGTGTCCTGAAACATGAAAAAAAAAAAAATTAGGGGTTACTTTTATGTCTTCATTGAAGATCTTTTCTAAAAATTATGAACTCAAAAATGTATATTTCATCTCTCATACTCTGTGTATCAGCTTTCTATTCCAAAGGAAAATAATGTCTTCTGATTCCATGTAGAAACAAAAAACATTCTCTAATCTTAGCAGAATTTGAATGATCCTCTGTATTATTCTTTTTTAATTTATATTATACCCTTTATTCCTCTGAACCAGAAGTATATTTATTGATTGAATTTTACATTTGTTAAAAATGCTGTCAAATAAAACATGAACCACGGTACATAACAAAAGAGTATTTCTGTCACTTGGGGAAAACAGCAAAAACTAAAAAATCAGGTGTGCTACACCGTGAAACACAGAACAACAAAAACAACAACAAACATTTATTACTAACCACTAGAACACAGCATTTGTGTGGTCAGGGAGAAAAGTTCAGAGCAAGAAAAGGGACTATCTAGTAGCAAGTAGCCTAGACTTTTCACTGCTAAAAATCTGCCCTAACCAATTAAGATTGGACAATTACATACACATCTTGAAAATGTTTCAATTTTATATTATATTTGCTTTCTCGTTTTATAGTTTACTTATATGTTAACTTATTATACATTAACTATATGGGTGAAGCTTAAGACCTCACCCATATTGATTTGAGTCAATCTCTCTGTTTGCACTAAGTCCCCAGGGTTCAGCATCGATGACCTCAAGGGTGTGCCCTGAAGACAGTGGATGGAGGAAGCAGGGGGGCGGGTTATACAGGAAATTGCTCAGGGATCTTTATCTCATTTCAAGATGTTCCCTAGGTCTTTTGTTTGCATGTTTCCCTGTGAGATGAGATGATAATATCATAAGGGAAATGCTTTTATTTGGATTTCATTGTACTTAGTGAGCAAAAAACAAGCCTATAGTAAAACCAAAGTAGGTAACCATCAACCTCCTATATGTCCAGTAATGTGCCGGGTCTTATAAAAGATACAAAATTAAAAGCACTGGCCAAGCGCAGTGGCTCATGCCCATAATCCTAGCACTTTTCAAGCTGAGGCAGGAGGATCCCTTGAGGCCAGGAGTTCGGCAGGAGGATCCCTTGAGGCCAGGAGTTCGAGACCAGCCTGGACAACATAGCAAAACCCTGTCTCTACAAAAAATTTTAAAAACTTGGCTAGGTGTGGTGGCACACACTTGCAGTCCCAGCTACTCAGAAGCCTGAGCCATAAGGATCCCTTGAGCTCAGGAGTTTGAGGCTACAGTGAGCTATGATGATGCTACTGCGCTTTAACCCAGGAGACAGAGTAAGATCTTGTCTTCAAAAAAAAAAAAAACAAAAACTCACAATACAATCCTTGTCGTCAGGAGGTAGTGAGGTAAGAACGTGGATTCTGAAAGTTGGAAACAGTTATCTTTGAATTACAATAAACTATATGTACAAAAATAGTCATATAAACTCTATGAGCCTACATTTCCTTATTTATTATAGAGATAACTTCTTGGGCTGTTACAAGAATTAAAGGAGAAATACGTAAGTGAAATTATTGAGCAGAGTGCCTAGTCCACTACTAGACATTTAAAATATCTCATTTTTCTTCCATTCAAAGAGCTTGAAATCTACCCAGAAAGAAAAAAAGTAGCAGATAAATTACTTAACAATGTGGAAAGGCATAATTCACAGGATTTAAAATAGAGGATGTCGGTGTCAAATGAAGTATTCAGGAAGACTTTAGTGGAACTTTTGAGGGAAACTTTGCAGAAGAGGAAGATGGGGGTGCCCGGAGAGAGGCGGGGTGGCGCACAGAGCAGGTCCCGCGTGCGCGTGCCCCGGCGCAGGCTGGCGTTCCTGGGTGGGCGAGTGTGCCGCGCAGCGACTTGCACAAAATGGACCTAGCGGCAAGGTGGCCTATCATTGGGAAGCCAAAATATTTTTACAGTAACTGCTCCTAGTAAATAAAAGTTTTGTTTTTTTTTTTTTTTCTTTTTTAAAGGAAAAGCTACCTGATGATTATAATGCCTGGATGGTCATTGCTGAGCACCTGCCTGCTCTGATTGAGACCGGTCAACTCCGAGCAGAAGTTGAGAAGGTTTGAAATATGTCTTACATTTGTCTTCTTTCTTCTTTTTTTATTTTTATAGAGATGAGGTCTCACTCTGTCGCCCTGACTGGAGCGCAATGAATGGCACAATCACAGCTCACTGCAGCCTCAAACTCCCGGGCTCAAGTGATCCTCCTGCCTCGGCCTCCCGAGTCACGGGGATTTCAGGCGTGAGCCACTGTGCCTTGGCTGTCGTCTTTTGTAGCTTCTTAACATCATAAACGTGGTTTTGAAGCCCATAACATCACCAAAATTGATCTGAGTCAATCTCTCCATTTGTTTGCAGTTACCGATGCTCAGCATTGATGACCTGCGAGGGCACAAACTGCAGCGCCTGGCGCATCTGGTGCTGGGGTACATCACCATGGCATATGTGTGGAACAAAGGTGACGGAGATGTCCGCAAGGTTTGGAGATTTTCTAATATTTCTTATGCCATGTGCCAGATTTTCATCCAATTTCCGTTTAACGTAAAAATTTTCCAAAAGCATAACTTGTATTTTGCAAAGTTTAGATAACAGAAAAAAAGGAAAAAGAAAACATTCACTGGCTTAACATATCAACTGTTATCATTATTATAGTTTTAGTCTTTTACTTATATTACACAGTTGCTCTATCCTGTACAAATACCTATATAGCCTGCTTCTTTGACTTAAATTATATCGTAAGCATTTTTTAATTACTACACAATCATTCTAGTCATTTGAAATGACTAATTTTTCATTAAATTTCTGAACTTTAGTTTACTTACTAAATCCTCTATTGATAAATACTTGTTTTCAGTATTTCACTATTATAAATAATACTACAATAAATATCTTTGAATAGGAACCATTTTTCTCTATTTATGATTTTTGGGAAGTCTGAATATTTCTGGCCCCTCTTAGTTAATGCTACAAGGCTACTTTACGTCTGTCAACATGGAAGAATAGATTGGTTTCACTCTACTCATCAATATTAGATAACCTTCGTTTTAAAGTAATGTCATCTTGTATGTATATTTATATGTATACATTTAAGTGTTAGTCACAGTCTTATTTTTATAGAAGTAGTGATTATGAGCACATAGCCATTATAGATTAGGTTTGGTAGCTATTTCACTCTAAGTCCAACCAGAAGAGGGTCCCAGTAACCTTTTCCTAGGGATTGGTGTAGGATAGATGAATAGAGGAGGTCGAATAATGTGTACAGTCTGCTGATTTCTGTTTGTTATCCACCCAGTAGTGCAACTAAAGTCCCACTGAAGTTCCACCACCCACTACCCCAGACTGACCACACAGCCCTTTCCTTCCTGGTTAATTTCAAAATTCCAGCCACGAATTGCTGATGACAATGATTGCCCTGATTACCTAGGGACCATCCAATGCTAAGTCAGATGAGGAAGTTAGGCAGATCAAGAGCAAGATGTCGGCTTTATGACTAATAGAGCTGTTGGGAAACATGGCCGGGTTTGAGGAGACCAACGGGCTAGACAAAAGTGCACCCCAGAATCAGAGCCACCCACCCACCTCGTGGAGGGCAGTGCTCGACAACCACAGGATTGCCCTGTGTGTGGCCGAACAGAGCAAATTCTACAAGTAGCAGCCTCAGGAAAAGAAGAGTTGAGAAAAAGAGGCTTATCTGATTGCTATAGCTTCACCTCCCCTGAGGAAGGGTGAGTGAAAGCACTGAGATTAGCCGAGTGTCCTGCCAATTTTCACAAGGAAATACGAAGAAAGGGGATAGCAGATTCCTTCTTGCAGCACAAGTACGTTTTCAAGATCAAGCACCAATGTCATTCAATGGTGCAGCTTTCTTAAACAAACAAACAAAAAAAAATCACCCAGGAGAGAATTTCTACACTGTGTCCCCAAGAGCAGCAATTTATTTACACTTGCCCAAAAGTCATAATTACAAAGACTTTCATCATCTCTGAGACAATTGATTTTATCTTTTTATTGCCAGTGGATAATGTAGCATATTGCATTGAAAAATTGGTTTACAAATATTCACAGGATGGACGGAAGAATGAATGAATGACAGCACCTCACAAGGCCATTAGACAGTTGAAGATGCAGCCTTTGTTCCTCTTGTTCTCAATTTTCTTTACCTCTCTGTGGGCAAGTTATGTCCTCATCAACCCAAATCCAAAACATGAACATTCAACAATTTAAGTTATAAAATGAAAAAGAAAAAAAATTACATTTTTTTGGTTTCAAAGTGCCATTATATAGAACAGATAATATTTTGGTATCCAGGAAGCAGAAAAAAAGGTAAGATACTCCAATGGTTAAAACTAAATATTGTGTTTTAATTAGATCTTGCCAAGAAATATTGCTATTCCTTACTGCAAACTCTCTGAGAAGCTGGGACTCCCTCCTATTCTCGTATATGCAGACTGTGTCTTGGCAAACTGGAAGAAAAAGGATCCCAATGGGTAAGTAAACTGTGATTATAATAGGAATTGATAGGGTGCATGCTATTTAAATCAAAAAGTACTTATTTATTGGTCTAATTTTTAGCAGTACAGTTTTCTTCTCTGTTAGTTTCTTGAACTGCTGTGTCCATAACTATAAATGTATTATACATATATGAGAGAGCTGTATAGTTAAAATACAGCAAAATGCACAAATCTTAAATCATCAGTTTGAATCTTACTATTGTATGCATACGTAAAACCACCACCCTAAGCAAGATACAGAATATTTTTATCACCTCAGAAAATTCCTTCGTGCTTTTTTTTCCATCCAACTTCTTTCCCAGCCCTAGGTAAACGTATTCTCATTTGTCTTGTCAAAAGTTATTTTGTTTTGCTATTAAGTGTATATCAGTGAAACCATAGAGTATGTACTCTTTTGTATTTGGCTTCCTTTGATTAACGTGTTTTTGAGATTATACTAATGTAACATTTAAGTAGCCAATTGCAATTAAGAGTCGACACTTCTTTAGTAGTAGAGGCAGCAATGTCTGGATTTTCAAAGCAGTCTACTCAAAATCTAGGCCTTTTTGTACCCATTGAGTGATGGCATATGCTATAAAAAAGGGACAAGAGAATTAACGTGCCCTGGGTCCATGCCCCTGTAGCAGACGATTCTGCAAATGGGACTACAGCAAAATGAAAGGATTTGATTTGGAAAGTTTCTTTTTAGTAACAACTATTAATAGTTTTGACTGTCTATGTGTGCTCCTTGCATGTTTAATTTTTTATTTCACTTGTTAGTTATTAAGTTAAATGTTTACAATGCCTACTTGAGAAATATAAAAAGAATATATTTTTTCTTTTTTACCGATGTCTTACCTCTGATAGAGCAGTAATATTCAATCTAATAACAATAGCTCAAAGCCATTTTTATGTTGGTTTTCTTTCTGTCTTCCAACTGGCCACTGATGCATGTCTACTCTCCTAAGGCCCATGACTTATGAGTAAGTATTTGATTCTTATCTTATTCTAAGACTTGTTATTCAAAGTGAATGTAGGTTTATTAATATACTCCAAGTGCATTTTTGAATGATTGGATTTAGGCAAAAATTAAGTCATTATTTAAAAAGCAAATAATCACAGTTGTAAATTATGTCTCTGGCTGTGTTATGACTGTGTCTACTTGATATTATAGATACAGATGTATATAAAAATACTATTTGCACATCTACATGTAATAACGGTGCATAAATACAAAAGGCACAAACCTCTGTGTATCTATGACTTAATGATCTCTGTGGCTGGAACAAGTCACCAGTGTCAATAAGCAGCTGAACATAAACCTGATCTTTTTGACCCAATCTTTATTACTTTTGACCTATAAACTTAACATAGGCTGAGACGGGGAAACCAAAGCAAGCATCATTGGTATAAGCCCGCCCTGGGAAGCTAGACTGCTGGAGAGGAGGAGATAGGTGAAACTCTCATAAATTGCCACAGGGCTAAGAGAAGAGGTAGGAAGATAGAGTACTGGGAACCCAAACAAATGAAAGTGTGCAGGGGCAATGCCTGAAGTTGAGTCCCAAAGAGTGAGTAGGAAGTAGCTAGAAGAAGGAGCAGACAGCAAGTGAGGCCTTGAAGTGACAAAAATCTTGATGCATTGTCAGAGTTGAAGGATGGCTCATGTCAGTGATAAATAATGAACGATGACAATAACAATATGAGAAAAGGATGAAGAAATAATTTTTTGAAAAGATTAGGCCAGGCACAGTGGTTCACACCTGTAATCCCAGCACTCTGGGAGGCGGTGGCAGGAGGATCTCTTAAGCCCAAGAGTTCCAGGCTGCAGTGAGCTGTGATTATGACTGGGCCACTGCCCTCCAAACAGGACAACAGAGTGAGACCTTGTCTTCAAAAAGAAAAATTATGTGGGGCTTTGTTGGCTATGATAAGGAGTTCGAACAGTATCTTAAAATAAGTGAGAAGCTATAAGGTTTTTAAACAGGAGGATGGTATCATCGGCCAGTCCCATTTTACAGATAAGAACACTGAGGCAGAGAAAGATGACTTATCATACTCAAGGTCACATAGCAAGTAACCTGCAAGGTTGTCTGGCTTCAGAAACCACGAATTTAACCACCACAAAACTAACAGATATACAGACACTATGACTATGTTTGCACCAACGCCAAAACTTCAATAGAAAAGTAAAATAGAGTCTAACCAGTTATTTTAATTTCCCAGCCAATTCTTTCTTAAAGTAGATAAACCACTGAGAAATTGAATCAGGTTCACATATAAAAATATGAATATATTTATTTGAACAAAAAGATTACTTCTTAAAACTCTGCCTCACAGATACCTCTATAAACATTGAGCATATATTAATATCTATAGTAATGTATATGTCTGTCAAAAGTTAACGGGATAATAGAAACAGAACTAGTTTGGGATTCTGGTTCCAAGTTCTAAAATGAAATGTCGAGTCTCAGTTTAACCCACTTACTATTAATTATATGGTCTTAGACAGTGGGTCTACCCAGCTGAGCCAACATTCCCAACTATGTAATGGCGACAGTAATACCTAACATACTTCTCTCACAAAATTATTTTGAAAATGAAATCAGATAAATAAAAATGCTTGAAACTATAACGTAGTTTACAAACGTATCATAATTTTTGCGACCTGTCTTGCCTTCCTCAATGGACTTTCTTAGGAATATGGACATTTTGTTCTCGTTTCCTGGTGGGAACTGCGGTAAAGGATTCTTCCTGGTTTCTCTATTGGTGGAAATAGCAGCTGCTTCTGCAATCAAAGTAAGTCCGCCCACACTTGAAAATGTGTATGTCTGTTCATATAAGCAGAGCAATCCCTTAATATCTGAACCAAAGTAGGCATGAATTAACTTTATCCTGAACAAATACAGCGATTATTTAATTGGGGGTAAGGGATCATCTGATAGAAAGAAATATTTCTTTTATTTTTGTGTATCATCACTAAATATATAAAATTTTAGAGTCATATATTTAGAATCAAATTTGAAACCCCTGTAAGAAATAAAAATTTTCAATGCAATTTGGCATTGGACTATAATACATAGTGTCATAAATTCAACGGTTTCGAAATAGAAATGGATGTCTGAGCATGGTGGTTCATGCCTGTAATCCCAGCACTCTGGGAGGCCAAGGCTGGAGGATCGCTTGAGCTCAGGAATTCAAGATCAGCCTGAGCAAGAGCGAGACCCGGTCTCTACCGAAAATAGAAAAAGTAGCCGGGCATGGTGGTACGTGCCTGAAGTCCCAGCCACTCGGGAGGCTGAGGCAGGAGGATCAGCCCAGGAGTTTGAGGTTGCAGTGAGCTATGATGACGCCACTACACTCTACCCAGGGTGAGAGAGCAAGACTCTGTCTCAAAAAAAAAAAAAAAAAAAAAAAAATAGAGAAGAAAAGAAAAGAAATAGAAATGGAAATATGTATATATATAAACACCTCTAAATTAAATGCTAAGTGAATAAACTAATCCCAGTTTATATAAATTCAGGGAAATTAGTCAAATAGGGTGCTCAGCCCAGGAAAGAAGTGTAAAATCCCAAAATTAATCTAGGAACTAAGACTTGGGAGAATTTTATTCAATGAAAATGTATAGTCCTAGGAAATCTTAAGTGTTTGTCTTTTTTTTTTTTTAAGGTAATTCCCATTATATTCAGTGCAGTGCAGCACCAGGACCAGGATACTTTGCAAAAGGCGCTGCTTGATATAGTTTCTTCCCTGAAGAAAGCTCTTGAAGCGTTTCACCAAATCCATGGCAAGTGTTGTGTGCCATACAACCTTCTAGGCTAACGAATGTTTCTGATTGTCTGCATAGAGTTGCTGAGAAAAAGGAGGCAAAAAGCAAGTACCACTTAGCGAGTGTGTTTTTACTTCATGTATTTCATCTCACTAAATCATTACACTTTCTATATGGTAGATCTCCATTTTACAGATGAGGAAATCTAAATTCAGAGAGGTAAGATAAATGACTTAAGATTACACAGGTAGTACATGGTGAAGCCGAGATTCCAACCTGGGTCTATTTAACTCTAAGGGGGCTTCCTTACTTCCCACTAAATCCCACAGAAAAGCTTGCTAAATGGGAAGGTGATTTTAAGTTCTGAAAAACATAGTTTCTGCTTGATAAGATCTCTCTAATTCTGCTTTTTTACAAGTTAACTAAGAAACTAAACAGAAAAGCCAGTGAGCTCAAAAGTTGTTGCAAAATTAACAACTAAAAAACTACAAAAACCCAAACAGTGCATAAGTAGCAATTTGCAAAAGGAAATCCGCCCACTGGACAGACTTAACAACCGTGGCTGTTTATCCCTGGACTTAGAGTTACTTCTCATTGGTCCGCGGCATCGGACCTTCAAATCAAATAGGGAGGGAGACTCGTGGATGCACAAGGCAGAGGGCGGCTGGGATTTTTGTTTCTGTTTTGTGTTTTTTTATTTTTGGGGAGGTTCTTTCTTTATGTAAATAGCTTACCTGTTATGTCAGTAAGCACATAAAGCAGTGCTAGAGAAATGCTGACAGTTTAACTGGCCCCCTGATGATGCCTGGCGGGTGGGTAGATGGCTCCTTAGCACAAACTGTGCAGACGCCCTACAGGAGACCCCATCCAGGGACACAGGTGATGAGCGGGGCTCCTCTGGGAGAGGGCGGGAGACTGGGCATCTGTCTGCAGGTGCTTTGTTCTGCACAGACCGACCTAAGGCCTTTCCCGCAAGCTGTGTTGAAACCCACCATCAGTTATTCGCAACACCTTGATTTTCCCATATGCCTCTGCTGCTGTGTAATCAAACACATTCCATCTTTTTGCAGAACACGTGGACCCAAAACTGTTTTTCAATGTTCTTCGCATATACTTGTCTGGGTATGTAGTCTTATGCTTGAATTTGTTTGCTCTCAATGAACATAAAGAACACGCCAACTTCCTGTTAATGGTCCCCACTGTTCATTGAGTTCAGACGACAAAGTATATTTTCCAACAGGCTGTTTCTATTACTTGGCAGGGATGCGCTGGAGGCGAGATAGGACAGCTAGTCATTTTAAAAAGAGTGGAATGGGCTTTGCTAATGCAAGAATAAGGTCCCATTCCTAGAATATTTATGCCAGATCTGCTCAGAATTATCTTATTATTCTCATGCATGAAAATGAGTGGGGGGGAGAGGGTGTGAAGAAAGGACCGTGAAATCTATCTCATCACCTTCTGGTCACCTCTAGTGCAAGATGCGGTATCTGAAAACTGGCAATTAACCCAAAGAATGATTTTTCTTTCTTTCCTGCCTCAGCTGGAAAGGCAACCCCCAGCTGTCAGAGGGTCTGCTCTATGAGGGGGTCTGGGACACCCCGAGGAAGTTCGCAGGGGGCAGTGCCGCCCAAAGCAGCATCTTTCAGTGCTTCGATGTCCTGCTGGGCATCCAGCAGAGCGCTGGCGGAGGTGAGCTGAAACTGACCAAACCGTTCCCTCTTAAGTAATAGAATGGTATTTGAATGTCTAAAAAGCGCCTTCCCGTCAGCATCTCCTCTGAACTTATTTGAAGGACAATGAGTGCAGTAGGGGCTTGATTGTCCTCACCCCAGTTCACAGATGGAGAAGCAGAAACGCAGTGAGAGTGAGCGACGGTCTCCTGTTAACCGGCCACACCGCGAGGCCGCAGCAGAGCCGCAGCTCACCCCCGAGCTCCTCACTCCCCCCGGCCGCAGATTTCGACATGTCTTTAGAGGCTGGTCGACTCTGGTGAAGCCCAAATCACATGTTCTGCACATGTACGATCAGTTTCACAAAGAGAAAGTCACCTGCAGATGAGATGACAGGGACCTCAGTGACACGGGGAGGCTGGGCTTTGCTCTTAGTTGGCTTCCCCGTGTCCCCAGCAGCCCAGGGCAGTGGCAGCACCAGAGTTTAAAGATGAGCCACATTCCTTATGTTCCTCGTAGGGGCTTAGAAGGAGGAGCGGGAGAAGCGCCAGGAAGAACTTCGACTGACTTTTCTCTGTTTTCTTAAACTTCTTTGTCAAAGCCAGAGGGGAAAGCATTGGGCTGAGTGAAATCATGTTTTTTTCTTAATTCAGACACTTATTTTAAAATGAGCCCTTAAACTGTCTCAGACTTAGTGTCATGATCTGCCGAGTGCAGATTATATATACCCTGTCTATGCCACCAGCTTCTTAGAAGGATCAAATACAGCAGAAAAATGAGAAAGAAAGTACAAACAGAAATGTTTTATTATGAAAGAATGAGTTTAGCTCCTGCGGTTTTCAGAATTAACAGTACTTTACAATAATTACCGTTGCTATTATAGTAGCAAGACTAATAGCTAGACATTAGCCTCCAGATAGGATGGTCTTAACCCCAGTGACTCCTGCCTGGTATTGGCTGGTGATCTCCCACCCTCTCTGACCTCACTCTGCCTCTGCCTGGATCAGGCAATGCTTTGGCCTCCCTGTTACTTCACGGTTCTCATGTTCCTTTAGAATCCGCTGCTGAGTTCCTCCAGGATATGAGAACATACATGCCACCAGCTCACCAGGACTTTCTTCGCTCAATAGAGTCGGGTCCATCAGTCCGTGAATTTGTCCTGCAGAAAGGTGGTGCCGACCTGCAGAAGGCGTATGACGAGTGTGTGAAAGCTCTGGTCTCCCTGAGGAGCTACCATTTGCAAATAGTGACCAAGTACATCGTGATTCCTGCAAGGCTGCAGCCCAAGGAAAGCAAGAAGTCTGAAGGGCCCTCAGGGCTGGAAAACAAAGGAACTGGTGGCACGGATATCATGAACTTCCTAAAGACTGTGAGAAGTACGACACAGAAATCCCTTTTGAAGGAAGGAAGGTTAATGTAACCAAGCAAGGATACATTTTACCAAAGCAAACACATCTGCGTATGTTCTGTCACTGCTCGTTGTATCAGACCCCTGCATTAACAATGCGCAATACTTCATCTGTAACACACTATCAAAGACTTCAACAGAAATTTTTTCTGATATCTGTGCACTCCTTGTAGGAAAACAAAAGATAATTATATAAGAATGCAAAAAATTAATATTAGAAGCATTATAAGCTATATTATGCCATTGGAAGATAATGATGAAATTCAATAAATAAAAATGTATATAAGTATAATAAATCTTGCTTTGTTTATGAACTAAAATGAAATATTCCTTCACATGGACATACTCTACCCGGCTACCCTTGCAGCAGGGCTAATAGAGTCCTGTACTTTCCCTATGTTAATTTTTTCACAATTACCTGCTTACTTGTATGCCAGGGACAATGTACTGTATACCAGACCCATGTACCCCAGCTCTTAGCAGATACTTTGCAAACACCTATTGAGTTAATATATAAGAGAATGAATGTATGAATAAGTTAATCTCGTCTAAAAAAAGAGTTCACCTTTGAAATACAATTTCTCCTGTGAGGTCAGGGTTATTGGGCACTTACACTCTGGCATGAGTTTATTTAATAATGGAATTCTAGAAAGTTAGGGCTTGAGAGGAACTTAAAAATCGTCTGAGCCAAACGCTTCATTTTAAAGATGAAAAAGTTAAGGCTCTGAAGGGTGAAATAACTTATTTACGATCAAGCAATTTAGTTACAAGTAAGAGAAGTTAAGTTTTTTGATGGCTTCTATTTTTCTCTACTTAAAATAGACTAGGTTAGAGGGAAAAAGAATTTTGGATGGCTTGACAGAACCCTTGAGGTAGGAAATGGTTGGCCAGAAATCAGGCACGTTCCAAAGAACAAAAGGCATGTTGATCCTTTCCTTGGGTGTGAAATTAGCAAGCACGTTGAAGTTATGCAAACCTCAACTCTGAGGACTTGAGACCTAGCACAGGAATTTAAATGAGTACACTCACGTAGGTTTGAGGAAGGAAATGTAGTTATATCCTTCTAAAAGCCAAACTGCCAAAATCTATGTTAGCATTATTTCTCAAATATACCCAAACCCAATGAAATCAAGTGAAATCTTCCTGCTCTCAGCCAAATTTCACTAGATTGCCTAAGAAATACAATAGAGGTAATATTCATGTGATAGATAGGACACAATTTCTTCTTTATGTCTGTTACAAAAGCTCGGTAAAGCCATTCCGGGAAGAAGGAAAGAGAGTTTACTTTGCCGACAAAGAAGGAAATATGGCAGACCTTCTCGTCTCAAAATCCAAATTCCCTGAACACAGGCAGAACTACAGAGCTTTCAAAGGGAGGGTTCGCAGCTTCAGGCAATTACTGAGGTTAACTTCTAGTCGTTCCGTCTCTGCCAAAGACAGAGCCTGTGAACTCCAGCAGCTGCCCACAGGGGCGCCTGCCTCCACCTGGGAGTTTTAACAGAAGACTTAACCTGCCTCAGGGATGCGGCCAGAATGCAGTTCCCAAAAGGAGTGGGGAAGATTTAACCTCTTTGCCATTTTCTTTTCTTCAGGCCATTCCCCCTCTGTTACATTTCCTCTCGATGTTTCTGCAATGAGTACATATAATTTTGTCATGAAAAGGTATGTATGCATGCATTTATACATACCAAATACATGTGCGTGTGTGCGCATGTGCATAACCTTTAAAGGATGAGCAGAAAGACCATCGCACTCTTAGAGCTCAGCATGGCACAGTGGTCCAGGACATGGGTCCCACAGTCTATCAGCTTTGTGACCTTGGGAAAGTCTCTTTATATTTCTGTAAAATAAGCATAATAACACTTGCCCTGTCTCGTTCACAAGGTTGCCGTGAGGCCTGATGGAGTATGGGGCTGAGGTGTTAGGCAGCTGTAAAGTACTACTCGCCTGCACGGAAATGAATTGCTTGGGTTCGTTTACTGGCTCCAGGTCAAGATGTTTCCTGTCCCCGTGTTTTTCTGCCTGCAGGGCTGAGCACGGGCCACAGCTCTCAGAAGGCTGCCCTGGGGAGTTTCTCTCGTCTACAGTTGGTTGTACCCTAATTAGCATGAGGTGAGAGAGGCACTGCACCTGGGCTTCCAGTTCTCCTCAAGAGGGCGTGGACACTTTTGTCAGAGCCTGTTCTATCTGTCCAAATAATAGAAACCAAGACTCCTCGGTTTATTCTAATTAGATCATCCCTGGGCCGGGTAAGGCACAACTGAACACTGGATGTGTTTCTAAAAGAAGCTCTGTTGCCTCTGCGTCCCATGCCCTGTATTTTCTGCCGGTCACAGTGAATGCTCCTCCAGGGCTGGGACAGGGTCACGAGATGGTTGAGGTGTACCCTATCACAGGAGAAGGTTTTAACTAGATGTAATAAATTCTTAGTAGCATGGTTCCCATTTTTTTTTTTTTTTTTTTTTTTTTGAGTCAGAGTCTCACTGTGTTGCCCGGGCCAGAGTGCCGTGGCGTCATCTTAGCTCACAGCAACCTCAGACTCCTGGACTCAAGCGATCCTCCTGCCTCAGCCTCCCGAGTAGCTGGGACTACAGGCATGCGCCACCATGCCCGGCTAATTTTTTGTATATATTTTTAGTTGTCCAATTAATTTCTTTCTATTTTTAGTAGAGACGGGGTCTCGCTCTTGCTCAGGCTGGTCTCGAACTCCTGAGCTCAAACAATCCACCCGCCTCGGCCTCCCAGAGAGCTAGGATTACAGGCGTGAGCCACCACGCCCGGCCGCATGGTTCCCATTTGAATGAAATTAATGATAATGCTACCCCAGTCTATGTCCTAGTAAAATCAGAAATTCATGATGGTGTGTTGGTCCACATGTCGTTTTCCATAAGTGAAGAGAGTTTAGCTTAAAATAGGTATCTTTTTCATATCTAAGATTCAGAAAAGTCAGTCAGTATTCTTTAGCCCCTGCCTTCCATAATTAACATTTGCACATTAAATGATTGAAGTTCCTTATGTATTATTTAATCCTATTTTTTACTGTAATATATTAAATATAGACTTGCATGGAATTAAGAAAAATATTGCTCAATTCACTCTGAATTTCTCATATTCGTTATACAAGAGCTAGTGTAGAATTATGCAGTTGTTACTGGTCAACCACCAGCTAGAAATAGGCATTTGCTCATTTTCACAGAATTGTTTTCCATGACAATAAACAATTAAAAAATTGAAATTTGGACACTCCAAAAATGTCCCCTGTAAACATTCCTCTGATGGTTTCTAAAGTTTTTGCCAACTCTGAGACACAGTGGCCCATGCAAGCATTAATCAAACCCATCAGCAACATCTCTGGCAATACACCAAATGTTTATTTAGAGCCCACACCATCAATTTCTGCTCCAAATGTCTTTCTACCTCTACCTCAAGTCATTTAATCTCCAAAGCAATTCTATGAGGTATGTATTATTATCCTCCCCGTTGTACAGGTGAGGAAATTGAGACACCAAGGGGTCAAGAAATTTGCTCAAGAACATACCAAGTAAAAGACAAAGCCGGGGTGTAAACTCGGGTAGCCTGGCTCCAAAGATTGAGCTCTTAGTTCCCATAACATACAGCAAAAAACTGCCCGGCTTCTGTGGGAACAGCTGTAGGGAAGGGGATGTCATTAACACGTACAGATTGGCTCACCTTGCACAGCCCACTCTTCCTTGATGTTTAAAAATTAATAAAACACTGTCTCTAATCTCAATCAACTCACAGAAACGAGATATCGTATCGTGTTTCTTTTGGATGATTACCTTTCAAATTGTTAGACCAATAAAAAATTTGTGTGTGAGAGAGGACAGAAGAGGAACTGATACATTCTGCTTGGAAAGTTGAGGAAAGTGTCTTACAGGAGGTAAATTGGATACTTAGCTTTAAAGTGTAACTGATTGTTGGTGCTTAATTGAAAATTTTCTCTTGAATTTCCAGCATTAAACAAACAAGTAAATATATAAATTTGATGTTGACCTAGCCTCCTATGATTCAAGAAATAAATATAAAAAATGTGAATTCTGTACATGGGCATCAGAGTCATCTAATATATGGAATCTTCTGGTACAGCTACCTTTTTAAACTATAAATTAATAATGATAGCTAATACTTAATTCTTCCATATGACTATTATTATTCTAAAAGTTTCATATTATATATTAATTCACTTAATCATAACAATGAATTTATGAGATAGGTACTATTACTAGCTACTTTTTTCTCTAAGGAAATTGACACCCAATGTAGTTCAGTAGTTGTCAAAATCTACAGCTACGATAAACGAAAAGATTGAACCCAGGCAATCTGACTACAGAATATTTCAACCACTACACAATACAACCTCCCCCATTAAAAAATGTCCTCTCACAAGGAAACTGCTCCTTTTGAACTTTACTGTCAAAGTATTGGAAAACTGATTGCACGAGACTCTCCAAAATTCTTGATTCATGCACGACTTTTCATCGTGCTGCAGTAGTAAGGGAGAGTGGAAGTGGAGAGGTAAGAAGATCAATTTTCCTCCCTGTCACTGCTATTTGGAACAGTGGTCCAATCTTTTCAAAACGGGAGCTCAGAGACATGGCGCTGACCTTGGAAGGTGCCCTGGAGATCGTTAGGTGATTGTGCTGTTGCCATAGGCTCTGCAGCCTGGAGAGCTGAGCCCAATGGGTGCAGAGGCCGGTACCTGAAAATATGGTGACCTGCACCAGGAAGAAGATAGAGAATTTTGGGGTTGGAAATTTGCTCGATAAGGCATCGTTTGCTGGTATCTACAGAGCTGAGTCTATTGACACAGCTTTGGAAGTTTTAGTCAAAACGATAGACAAGAAAGCTCTAATGGTACAGAGCCCAACATGAAGTAAAAATGCATTGCCAGTTGGAATGCCCTTCCACCTTGGAGCTCTGCAGCTATTTTGAAGATAGCTATCATGAGTACCTGGTATTAGAAATGAGAAAGGAGCAGGTAAATGAAGGTTGACCCTTCACACACCAGATCATCGCAAGAATGTTCTAGCTTCATTATCATGGTATCGCACACCAGAAACTCACACTTTCTAACCTCCTGTGCACAATATAAACATCAAGATTACCAATTTTGGGCTGCAACTCAATTGCAAATGCCATATAAAAGGCACTGTACTCCATGTGGAACGCCTAATTATGTTTCCCTAGAAATTGCAAAGTGTATATGTACTTGAAGTTAATGTTTGGTCCGTGGACTGTATGCTTCGCACA